CCCCACACAGGTGTCCCCTGCAGGCCCCATCCCGCGTCACCGCAGCCGGGGGCAGGGGGAGCCCCGCGGGTCCCCAAGGCCCCCGACAGCCCCCCATGGACGGGGGGGGACAGGAGAGGGGACCACGCGGCGCCGGGAGCGAGGAAGAGGAGCGGAGGCCGTTGCCTGGCAACCGCACAGCTGGCGCCTGACCTAGAAGATGCCGCTGACTCCTGGCACAGCTGGCGCTCGTCCCCCCCGGGATGCTCCCGCGCCCCCAGCCCCTCTGCCCGCCGTGGGGCGATGGGGAAACCAAGGCAGGCGGGAACGGCCGGAGAGGGGACCACGCGGCGCCGGGAGCGAGGAAGAGGAGCGGAGGCCGTTGCCTGGCAACCGCACAGCTGGCGCCTGACCTAGAAGATGCCGCTGACTCCTGGCACAGCTGGCGCTCGTCCCCCCCGGGATGCTCCCGCGCCCCCAGCCCCTCTGCCCGCCGTGGGGCGATGGGGAAACCAAGGCAGGCGGGAACGGCCTCCGCGGAGGCTCCTGCGCCCCCCAGCCCTGCAAGCAGCAGATTCATTCGCTTTTCCGTATGTTTTTTCCCCCTTTTCCCCCCGTTTTTTTCCATTCTCAGCATCAAAACAGGCGGCCGGGGTTAAAGGAATCTGCCACAGCCTGTGGAGGAATTAGGGGAAGCTGGAAAACAAGTGGGAGACCAGAGCGCTCCCAGCCCCGCCGGCTCCTTCCTGGGGTCTCCGGGACAGCGGAGACGGAGGCGTCAGCTGCAAAATCACCCAAAAAAGGGGAAAAAAGGGAGAAGGTGGCAGCGTGCTGCAAGGGCGGCTCCAGAGGTGCGTGCTGGGCAGGCACAACTTCCAAGCTGCTTCCTTGCAGCACAGCAGGATTATTTTTTTTATCTTTTTCCCTTTTTTTCCCCCATCTTTTTCACCTTTTTTTTAAGACTCAATTAAATCCATTGAGCAGCGTGTGCCGGTTTGGAGGCTGCAAAGCCTCGTGATGGGGCTGATTGCGGAGGGTTTATCAGCCCAGCGGCTCCGTGCCCGACGTGCCCGGCTGTTCACCGGGTTGTGCCAGCAGCGACTGCTTACGAAAAACAAAAAAGGAAAAAAAAAAAAAAGAGGAAAAACTGGAAATTTGATCGGGACCCGGTGGCACTTTGGGTATTTTATTTATTTGCTTGCTTTTCGGGAAGTTTCCAGGAGGCCGCTCGCGTTGACCCCGTGTCCTTGCAGGTGGGCGGCTGCTGCGCCAGCAGGGGATGGGCCCTGGGATTTGGCTGTTTTCAGCTGGTTTTGCCCCAAAAGGGCAGTGGCGGCCAGGGGCAGCAGGGCTGTAATGAGGCTCATGAGGCTGCGCAGGGACCCAGGTGGCAACAGCAGGGAGAAAAAACCCTGCAGGTTTTTCCGCCATTTCGACTTTTCCCATTCCCTTGGAAACA